ACAATTAATGAACTACTGCTAATACAGCGCTGTTAAACACCTCAGTGTGCTGATCAACTCTGACTAATGTACAACAGTTAATGAACTACTGCTAATACAGCTCTGTTAAACACCTCAGTGTGCTGCTGACCAACTCTGACTAATGTACTATAGTTAACAGCTCAGTTTACTCCTATTTTACCCAGATTAGACTCTTAGTTGCTATCTCTATCTCTTAATTCTGTAGGAGTTCATTTGGTCCCAAGAATTTGCAGCTAAAAATAAATGTGAAGTATTTTGGCTGATATCCAGTGCACAGTATAATAAAAGACAGGTTGCAAATGACAGAAAGCACTTTCAGCAGCATGACTAAACCTGAAATATCTTTTACAAACACTCTTCAAATACAGAGACCACATGCAGCTTCAGAAACGCTGAAAAATCTCTTTCAACCAAATTTTTTCTGAAAGACCCTCAAAGGGGACGGAATATCTGTGATAGAACATCACTGGAAAAAGTTAATAATGTGTAATAACTGTAATAATAACTTAGTTATGTTATAATAATTAATGTACTACAGTTAATGAACTACTGCTAATACAGCGCTGTTAAACACCTCAGTGTGCAGATCAACTCTGACTAATGTACTACAGTTAATGAACTACTGCTAATACAGCGCTGTTAAACACCTCAGTGTGCTGACCAACTCTGACTAATGTACTACAGTTAATGAACTACTGCTAATACAGCGCCGTTAAACACCTCAGTGTGCTGACCAACTCTGACTAATGTACTATAGTTAACAGCTCAGTTAACTCCTATTTTACCCAGATGAGACTCTTAGATGCTATCTCTATCTCTTAACTCTGTAGGTGTTTATTTGGTCACAAAAATTTGCAGCTAAAAATGAATGTGAAGTATCTTGGCTGATATCCAGTGCACAGTATAATGAAAGACAGGTTGCAAATGACAGAAAGCACTTACAGCAGCATGACTAAACCTGAAATACATTTTACAAAGACTCTTTAAATACGGAGACCACATGCAACTTCAGAAATGCTGAAAAATCTCTTACAACCAACATTTTTCTGAAAGACCCTCAAAGGGGATGGAATATCTGTGATAGAACATCACTGAAAAAGTTAATAATGTTAATAATAGCCTCCTTTAGAGCACAGATAGTTTTAAGGTAGTAATTTACAGCCCACCCATCCTGAGCAACAACTCCTGCAACACAAAATACAGAAATGTGTAAATTATTACTGTTTGGGTCTCAGTCAGTAAAAATGCTGCATAAAGTCTCCACTTCAGCTCATTTCTAAGACTGTTCATTTCAGCTGAGTTTGAATGATCAGCTGCAATAATCTGAGCTCATTTAGAGATAAAAGCACAAAGTGAGAAGCTCCACACACAAACTCAACACAACTGACTACAGTATATTAAAATACATTCTTGGGTCCCGTTAACATTTTGATGAGAAGTAACAGCTCAGACTCTCCAGAGATGAAGAGCAGAAACAGCAGAGAAACAGTCAGAGACATTCTGAGACCAGCAGTTCAGCCTGTGTGATCATAACACCAACAAAAAACACTGTTTACAGAAATGTTAATAATACTGTTTTAAGAACCAACAACATGCATAAAACTGATAAACAACTTTGAAACTACTAATAGTTGTGAGTTCATACATGCAGTTACTTCACTGTCCACTAGATGCTTTTTATGAATTGATTAATTTTTTACAGGCCTCATATTAGAGCTGTATTACTAATGTTTCTCTAAGTGTACTTAACTCAGTGTCTCACTAATTCTTTTAATGTCAATATTATAAAAGAGAGTAAAAGTCAAGCTATCCTTAACCTACAGACAATACAAATGTAAATACTAGTTCACTTCTCTGTTCAATAACTATAAACTCTTACCTAACTGACCAAGCAGTGAGAGTATTTTATTACCTTCATTAAGTGACGATCATCTCCTGAACAAAGAACGAATGAGGAGAACAGAAGAGCTTTATCAGTTTAAACAGTCGGTGTGAATGTGGTTAAAGTCTTGCTGCACATCCTGACAAATTTTCTTCTTCTTTTCCCTGAATCAGTCCTTCATTCTTCAAACATACACTAAGATACACTTACTTAGAACATTAATGAGTCAGTGTTGAGATGATTAACATTTTTTTCCTTTAAATCAATGACCTTTCAAGTCTTGCATGTTTTCTGTAGACAGTGTGGGTGGCCAGTTGACCAGCAGCTCCATTTTTTCACACTACAACTTCCTTTGTCTCTGAGCACTCAGACCACAACTCCTCTGAGTGTCAGTACTAAAACAGCACACACAGCATTGGGGGTTTTAGGTTAACTGGTGATATTATTCATTTTCTCCACTGATGATCACTGAAAGCTGCATCTCCCTCCATTCTGTTCATCAGCATCAGTACCTGCATTTAAAGTAGAAACACTACATGAGCAGAATTTGGAAAAGAGTGATGTGTAGTTCTGAGCTTATGATGTCACCTCATGTGTATCTTCAATACAGAATTAGTCTTATTCAGGTTTAGAATCAGGAAGAAGCAGTGAGTCACGGCAGGAAACACCTTGGACAGGCTGCTATACCACCACAAGGCAGGCACACAGACATGAACTTGTTTTCTATAAACCATAATGAGTATATAAAATTCTATAGATCCATGATATGAAATATTAAAAAATAATGTGTCTACCATTTTAAAAATAATGTGAACTTTTTAATAGGATTTGTCTCATCATATAGTCCACATACAACATTAGATATTGTCCTTAGAAGCAGAAAATAACCATGTTAGCTGTGCACACGTCTTCATCACACACCTTTTACTTTGTGTACCAGTGATGAAATTAGAAATTTACAGTTGTCAGAATAAACTCAGAACACATTGTTCACAGTACACTTTCAGTGGTGCACTTTGTGTTCTCCAGGCACTGGTTACAGGTGCCTGTTGAGGTCATATCAAGGTCCAATACATGACTAGGGATTAAACTCTGGTTTAACAGAGGATTGTTTAAATTTCTCTGAATGTTTGGTTTAGTCTTCTTTGAGCATTCAGAATAAATATGTGTTGGTTGATTGTTGGTCAGAGGCAAATCAGTCACAAGGTTGTTTCTTTCGATTTTATATCAATAAAGTAATGTCATCTTATGGATGTTTCTGGTGATTTAAATTTAATTACAAATTATCATTTGATACTGACACTTGACATTGTGAAATTCAGTTACAATGACAGTTCCAAACAGTCTGTTGTTATCAGAATGGCCAGCCCACAAAATTATAGTTAGTAGACAAAACAAGGAATGGGAAAACTCCAAAATACTGGTTGTGGTTTACATCCAACTGAAAGTCTGAGTCCTGTTTACTTGGTTGTCTCAATAGGGGTCATAACGCTGGTCCAGAACAGAATTGCAATGTTGTTTATTTCATATTGCTGTAAATCCCTGAGACAACATCAAATGTGGAAACTAACATTTCAAAACATTTCCTGAACATGATACATTACCCCCCTAACAGAAGTCCTCACACTCCAGATTCTTTGAACTGAACTGGGGGGCCGACACATCCTCATGGGGTGTTTTGGGGTAAGCCTGTCTACCTTCCTGGCAAGCACCAGTTCCCCAAGTGCCTGTTCCTTGGCAGCGGGCAACACCAGTCCTCTCTTGGGGCCGTATCTTGGGTGCAACAGAATTCCTCACAGTTACAATGTCAAGTTCAGTGCCACTGGCAGCAGCAGCAGGGGAAGCAGCAGCGGCTCTCCTCTTGGCCATCCTCCACCTTTTCCAACGTCCTCTGCGTTGTCTGATGTCCTCTGCATTGCAGCCCTGGACCTGACAGCCCACCTTGCCCCCGGAGATCTTCCAGCCAGATCTGATGCTCCATGTTCCTATATGCACGGGCCTCCTCTGGCTTCATTGTCCCCGCATGGCCACCTCAGAAACTTTGCATGTCAATATATAGGTCCATTTGGCACCCATGGTTTTTAAAAAAGTCTTTGTCATTTGTTGCATTGCAGAGATAAACTGCTGCACCTTCCAGCTCAAACCCTGGATGTACCATTTCTGACTTCCACTGTGACTGTTGACCCTGTGTCCAACAGAGCAGTGCCGGAACTCCTTCAGCATTGATGGAAATTTTCAGAAGTCTCATATGAGCGTTCACCCCACTACAGCAAATGTTTGTTTGCAGCCTGTGCTGTTCATTTTGGCTAAGCCAACATTCTTTCCTGCTGACCTCACCCCCAGTGGACAAGCCATAGCCAAACGTCTCGGCCAGCGACATGTCCAGTCCTTTGCCACTGGCTGTATGGCTGCGGTTACAGCCAACCCTCGGAAACTCCTAGCCCTACTCTTTCTCCTGATTGGTACAAAAACACAAACCCACTCTAATTAACCTAAGCTGGCACAAAAAAGCCCAACACAAACACAGATTACAGAGGAACCAACAACAACAATAACAGTCCTTTTCTTAGCAGTCACACGTTTCCTATGCGCCTTTATATAGCATAAAGCTAAAGTGCTCCACTGACCGCGTAGCCAGTGGCAAAATGCAACAATACTGTTGAGATCAGGAATATTGACCCACATAATGGTCACTGAAGCGATGAGGGAGAACTCCAAAATGCTTTCTGTTTCCATGGCATAGACATTGATTTAAATTGTGTCCATGGATCATAAAACTGGACTGGAACAGAACTGCAAAGTTGTTTATGTCATTTTGCTGTAAATCACTGAGACATCATCAAGTGTGGAAACTGCAGACCTGCAACATAATAAACACAGAGTGATCCACCGGAAAACTGTAATTCAATATGTATTTCAACATTTTTAGCTGTTAACACTTTTTTTTGTTGACTTGCCTGTCTTACCTTTGATGGATTTGCTGAATCGTCCTGTCTCTTTGTCCTTAAATAATATATAAAAAATAATAATAACAGAATAAGTGATGGTTAAAAAAAAGTAAAACGATTTGCATGAATATTCAGTTTCAAAGTATTTTTTCCAGTCAGGTGACTTAAGATGCACATACATACTGAAACACCAAAACACCCATGATGACAAAAAAACATCCACATCCAGCAACGACCCCAAGAACAGCAAACACCACAACTGAAATCTTAGCCTCTGTGTGCAGAAAAATGTTGACAGCAGTTGAACATTTTTCAAAAAAAATGTTTTTTAAGAATATCTTAAAAATGTTTTTGGGTTAATTGACACTCATCCACTAACATAACAATACTGCTGACTGCTGTGCGTAAAGAAATATTGAAGTCAGTTTTAAATTACACAAATATTTAGGAATGTAATGTTTTATAAAGTGTTACAAAGGTTTTTAGGGGTTAATTAATATTCTTCCACCATTAATACCTTTTACAGTGACAGTCACTGCAGCTGATTTCTGAGTTCCGTATTGATTCTGAGCCACACAGTAGTAGGATCCACTCTGTAGAGCCCTGTAACTGTGTCCAGATCCTACAGGTGAGCTTCCACCTTCTTTAAACCAGGTGTAGTTCTGCACAGGTGGGTCTGCATCACTGCTGCAGGTCAGATTCACTGAACTGCCCTCTGCTGTTTCACCAGAGGGACTGATGGACACTGAGATGTTCTTTGGAGGATCTAAATAACAGGACAAAAGCAGTGAGTGATCTAAGCATCATGAAATATTACAGCTCTAGAAAAGAGAATGGCTACGAAAACTGAATTTACTCACACAAAACATTCAGAGTTAGAGCTGCAGAGTATTTATCTCCATGTTTATTACTGCACTTGCACTTGTATTCTCCACTGTCCACAGAGCTGATCTTGTTCATTGTGTAAGTCTCTCCTTTTGCTACTAATGATGTTCCTTTAAACCAGTTATATTCCACAGGTGGGTTTGCATCACTGCTGCAGGTCAGAGTCACTGAACTGCCCTCCACTATTTCACCAGAGGGACTGATGGACACTGATGTGTTCTTTGGAAGATCTAGACAAACACAAAATTGAATTAAATTAGTAATATGTGAGTGGTCCCTGAGTGACTGAGTGGTCTTTATTAATGTCAGAATCTTGCCTTTTTGTGCACATAAACAATTAAACACTCACACAAAACATTCAGAGTTAGAGCTTCAGAGTATTTCTCTCCATGTTCATGACGGCACTTGCACTTGTATTCTCCACTGTCCACAGAGCTGATCTGGTTCATTGTGTAAGTCTCTCCTTTTGCTACTAATGATGTTCCTTTAAACCAGGTGTAGTTCTGCACAGGTGGGTTTGCATCACTAATGCAGGTCAGAGTCACTGAACTGCCCTCCACTATTTCACCAGAGGGACTGATGGACACTGAGATACTCTTTGGGCCATCTAGAGGTAGAAAGACACATTACACTTCATGGAGGTGCTTTTCTGTTTAAATAAGTGTTTAGTTCCTTAAAACTACATGACCTATATTCATGTTAAGATTATTAACTTCAGGTCAGAAAATGATTTGTTTTGACAAAACACTCAGAATTACTGTAATGCAAACCTTTCTTGGTTCTGTGGTTCTCTGGTTTTGTGGTTGGACACTGTTTGGCTTTTTTATTGGTTTTTGATTTACTAATAAGTTTAAAATTTCATAGAGAGAACAGTGATGCTGCATCAGCTGAGGGTTAAAAACAGTTCAGCATGAACCCTCAGTTTTGCTTGTTTTCTGAGACTGAATGAATGAATCTGTACTTACATCTGACATTCAGAGTGACCTCAGGAGAGTTCAGACCCAGTACAGCACAGCGATATTTGCCTGCATCCTTTCTGCTGACCGACTGCAGGTGGAGTTGGTCAGTACTGGAGGATAAACGATGTCTATTTCTGTACCAGGTGAATGTTGGTCTGACTGTCAGACTGCAGGTGGTTCTACATGTGAGAGTGACTTTATCTCCCTCTATCACTCTCTCAGGAACCTCCACCTGGAGATCTGAGAACAAGAGAAAACAAACTCATATTAGCTGAATGAGTGTATCAGTGTTATTAATGATCTACTGCTAATACAGCACTGTTAAACACTTGATTGTGCTGCTGACCAACTCTGACTAATGTACTACTGTTTTTCTTTGAGAAATATTGTTTTTAAACCTTCCGATAATTTTATCACACATTTTTTGGCAAATTATATTTTTCAGCCCATCTTTGCTCTGAAAAGCCTTTCCTGGATGCTGCTTTTCTGAAATATGAAATCATGATTACAATCATATTTGCATCACATTATTATATTTTTTAAATCACATCATTGTATTATTTTACCTCATTACTAGCCCTAAACTGCCCCATCCCAGCTTTTTGGAATGTGCTTCAGGACTGAAAAGCAGAAAAGGTTCTCTTTTTACAAACGTAATGAAGTTGACCGGATGAAACCTGAAAGATCTGCGTTCACACTGGCTATGTTCACATGCAAAGATTTTTCCAATCCGATTGAATACAATCCGATTACAGATTCAGACTGAGGTGTTTATATGCACACTCTATTCAACAATTTGATGGAAAATCTTCGTTTATATGCTCACTACAAGTAATCCGATGCAAAATGACGCGCATGCGTGGAGTAGCGTTTAAAGTAAACAGCGAACATCATGTGACAGCGAACATCACGTGAGGTCCAGTCCGTGTGAGGTCCAGTTTTCAGTTGGCGCGCTCGTGTTTTAATTACTTTAAAATGATGTCAGACTCAGGAAAACATGCTTCACATGTGCTTATAAAGGAAGTGGCGAGTGGAAGACGTCGTGCTCTAAGACTCATAAGCTGGTCGTCCGTCCCACCGCCGTCTTTTAAAGATCAGAGCATAAACTTCGTCTCCTCTGCAGACCAGTTTCTGCTCCGCCATGCTGAACGGTATAAGCTTTCGCCATGATGCGACGCACATGCGGAGAATATACGTACACGCTCCGATTGGAATGTAATCAGATTTAGGTGTTTACATGGCTATTATTCTTCTATTTAACGGATTATTTAGAGGTTTACCCACCTCGTCCAATCAGATAGAAATTGTATTCCAAATGGCCTCAATCGGACTAGACTGTTCCGACTGAGGTGTTTACATGGACGTGTTCTATTCTGATTGAGCTATTAGTCGAATTATAAACGGATTATCAGGCTGCATGTAAATGTGGCTACTGTCTGTAATATATACGAGTTACATTTTAGAATCACTGCTTTCTTATTTTATTTGCGTTTTATACCATCCTAAAGTTTTCTGATTTCGGTTTGCAAAACACTTCTGGACTGAATTCTGGTTCTCCAGTTCTAAGCAGTGACTTTCTCAGGTGTTCTATGAAGGATTGATGTGATTATATTGTAGAACTGCTTTGTGATCCTGAACTACAGTGAATGAAGTACAGTGTCTTATTTCTGCTGATGGATCTTACCTGTGACTGAAAGATCAACTCCACCTGCACCTTGATACTTTCCTCCAGGTTGGTCTGTTATAAATGTGAAGTAGTATTTACTTTGATCCTTTTCTCTCACAGTCTTCAGTTTGAGGGTGTCATTGGGTTGTTTATCTCTGAGGTACTGAACTCTGCCTCTGTACTCTGGATCATCTAACAGATCAGGAGGTTCTGAACCAGATGTAACCAGCTCTTTAGTCCAGAAAGCTTTTTGGACTGAGTGACCACTGGGATATGTGTAAGTACACTTCATGGTCACTGCAGACCCCTTTAGAGCACACATAGATTTAGAGATGTAATTCACAGCCCACCCATCCTGAGCAACAACTCCTGCAACAAAAAATACAGAAATGTGTGAATTATTACTGTTTGGGTCTCAGTCAGTAAAAATGCTGCATGAAGTCTCCACTTCAGCTCATTTCTAAGACTGTTCATTTCAGCTGAGTTTGAATGATCAGCTGTAATAATCTGAGCTCATTTAGAGATAAAAGCACAAAGTGAGAAGCTCCACAAGTCTTACAGTAGTTTTGCACAACTGACCACAACATGTAAAAATACATTCTTATAAATTTGTGGGTGCCGTTTATATTTTGATGAGAAGTAACAGCTCTGACTCACCAGAGATGAAGAGCAGAAACAGCAGAGAAACAGTCAGAGACATTCTGAGTGAGATCAGCAGTTCAGCCTGTGTGATCATAACACAAACAACAAAACACTGTTTGTTTACACAAATGTTAAAAATGCTGTTTTAAGAATCAACATGCATAAATCTGATAAACCGCTTGCAAACTATTAATGACTGTGAGTTCAAGCCTGCCGTTACTCCATTAGAAGCCTTTTATGAATTGAACACTTTCTACAGGCCTCATATTAGAGCTGCATCACTAATGTTCTTTAAGTGCACTTAACTCGGAGTGTCTCACTGATTGTTCTATTGTGAAGATTATCAGAGTAAAACTAAAATTAAACTACAGACCATAAAAGTATAAATATCAGTTCACTTCTCTGTTCAATATAAACTCTCTACTTACTGAACAAGCAATGAGAGTATTTTCCTACCTTCATTAAGTCACAATCATCTCCTGAACAAAGAACGAACGAGGAGAACAGAAGAGCTTCATCAGTTTAAACAGTTGGTGTGAATGTGGTTAAAGTCTTGTTGTCGTCTCACATTCTGACAACTGTTCTTCTTTTTTCTCCTGAATCAGTCCTTCATTCTTCAAGTACACAAGACTCACTTATTCTCATTAAAAACTGAATATGGTAAAATTATTGAAAGATCTGCTCCACGTTGAAGAACATTAATGAGACACTTCTGAGATGATGAACATTTTCCCTTTTAAATCAATGACTTTTCACCTCCTTGTTGTATGTAGACAGAGTGAGTGACTTCAACTGACCAGCAGCTTCATATATTCACACTAGAACTTCCTTTCTCTCTGAACATGCACAGCACTTCATGATGTCACTCTCATGATGAACAGATAACACAGCTCAGTTTCTGAGAGCTAATACTAAAAATACACTGCTGCACACACAGCATTATGGGTCAGAGGGTAACCGGTGATAAGCATCAGTGACTGAGGAAGATCCCTCATTAAGAAACCTGCATTAATGCTGATGATACTAACTGGTGAAGGACTTTTAGGGGCAGATTCACTAACTTAATTCACTAACGCTGCCCAGTAATGATGAGACAGAATACTACTGTGATGAACTTGGTTGTACTAAGTATGTTGTTGCCCTAGACATGAGAATTAACATGAGACTTGTAGGCCGTCCTGTGTTCATAGTGTTATTATAATACTTAACATCATAACTGAAAGGCTTTCAATCCCTCAAGTGCTGCACCAACAACCAGCAACTATAGTCTAATAAATTAAACTGTCACTGTGAGACTCTTTGTTTGGCTGTAGGTTCTGTTGTGGTGTTTGCTGTGAAGGAAAAGTAGAGATGAACTGATATTTACACATAGAAACAACAGAAATCACGAGTGTAATCTGTAGTGTTTATACTCCTGTGTGACACATAGGGGAGTCAGATTCCGTCAGGGATTCATCACAATAACTGGGGCCAGTTGCACCGTCTGTACAAACGTTCAAACTAAGGTTATTTATAAGAAATAAGTATGTAAGTTATATAAGTTGTAAAAGTTGTACAAGTTACTAAGTTCAGGTTTGTGTGTTACTGAATCAGAGCACCACACAAACTACTTTTACAACTAACATTGAGCTTAGTAGTAACTAAATATTGACACCTCCTCCTAAGCAGGTCTAAGTGTTGTGGAAACTGCAACCACATAGAAAGCATGGCTAAATGCTAAATGCTGTGATTTTACTTACGTCTCCAGTCAGGGCTCTGGTTCTAACTTCAAACCCAAAGCACCATCGCAGGGAAATGCTGCTTGAAACAGCTGCCACAGTGTTTACACTATGCTGCTTTTGTGTCGAAAAGACAAAAATCATCATTTAAAAATTTGCATATGAAATTGTTCCAGGGAAATATTAAATAATAAACACGCTATTTGCTCTTCTTACAGCAAATGTAAAAACTGCTGCTCATCTCCTCTCAGAGCTGCTTCAGGATCAGATTCCTCCCTGTTTTATATCTCTCTCAGAATCAGATCCTAGCACAGCACAGGACAGAGATTCTGACCAACATTTAAAGTAGAAACACTACATGAGCAGCATTTGGAAAGAGTGACGTTTAGTTCAGAGCTGATGATGTCATTTCCTGTGTATCCTCAGTACTGAACTAGCCTCATCCAAATTTAGAATCAGGAAGAAGCAGTGAGTCAAACAGGCCTCAGCACAGCTCACACTTCATCAAGCAGAAGTCAGACAGCACAAGTGTACAGGTGCATAAGTAATATTTGATTATCTGTTAGCTATGTTGCTAATCCTAATGTTTTCAGCATTATGCTAGCAGAATGAGTGTTTATTGTTTATATTTTCACTCTGAAGAAAAGCTTTGGTCGACTCTACACATGATTCTGTGTGACTGTAGACATTTGTGTTGAGTGAGTCGCACAAAACTGCAGTGAATCATTTCAACAGTAAAACCAGTGTTAGCTGCTAAATACGCATACAGGAAGTGAGGTGGCTAATCAGCTAATTTGACAACTTCAGGCTTGTACTTCAATAGCTGTATACAATCAATAGAAAATTTTATTGTTATTTGCAATCATTTAATGATAATTAATTGGCATCTAAGATTTTCTGACTCTGACAGCCCTAAATGGCATTAAAAGTGTTTTACTCTTAGATAAAACTAATAAAGTCTTGATGACGATGTAATAGTTGGTTTGTTATCTACTGCTTTTTTTCCACCTAGAGGAATGTAGCTGTAATTACATGCACACTGTACTAAAAGGTCCATCACTGACTGACTGATATCTGGAGCTCTGTATCAGCTCACCTGACACTTCATCCATCTTTCTCTTCTGCTCACTCATATTTCAGTTATTTATTAGCAACACTCCTGCTGTCTCATTAATAAAAGTATTAAATGTTTCATTAGGTAACTATTACAGTCTTGGGTTTGGTGCTTTAATGGGACAGAATGAGTCAGACATGTGCGGAGTGTAAAATCTGAACAGGCTTACTAGGTTGAAGGAATTCTGTAGTCGTAGTCACAAAACAGGCCAAGATCAAATCCAAAACCAAAAACACATTGTCACAACAAAGTCTAAGGGATGAATCAGAAAAGCAGAGTCGAGATGAACAGACAAAAGGTCAATAAACAGGAAAAACAAACTGGAATCCAGAATGAAATACTCAGTAGCTCTTGTAACAGAAGTAATACCTCGCAGCTGGGCTAAACTAAGGCCCAATCCCATTTCACCCCTTGCCCCTACCACTTAGCCCTTAGCCCTCTGTTTTTCGCATTCACGTCTAGGGTAAGGGTGTCACAATTTTTGTTGAGCTGTAGGGGTAGGGCGAAGTGTTAGGGCTACATGACCCTCCAAACGGAGATTTTTCCGAGGCACACTCCAAACAGTGTTATGAAAATAAAGAATAACCTATAAATTACGATAACTATTGAATTATCTTAGTTTAATGTCGTTTCAATGTATTATGGTCGTTTTCTTCATAACAAGCACAAAAAAAAAAAATCGCTAAAAGCATGCTAATTTCTCAGTAGCTAGTTCACTTTCCCGTTCCACCTTAAATAGTCCTGCAGCGTGGACGCCAGGAGTGCCAGAATGTAACTTCTGCACCATTTAAGGTGGAACGGGAAAATTCGAACAAGAAGCTAGCGAATAGATGACTTCAGCTTTGTATCACCAAAGAATTGGAGTGGGTGATAATGAATGATTGTCTTATCCCCTCTTTGAAAGCATTTGATGCGCTAAATGTAACTGAAGCCCAGCAGCGAGGTTGCTGAACTTCTCCCTTCTCTGCTATCACTGAAAACGCACTGGGTCGCCTGCAGGGCAGCGCTAGTAGCCTGATAATGAAGCAATGTTTGTTTTGGGTTTTTTTTTGTTTTTTTATTTGAGGGTTGTCCCATTTCGTAGTTCAAGTTTTTAACCACTACCCCTTGTAACTCAGTTCCAAGGGGTTAGGGTGACACTCGAAAACAAGGGGTAGGGGTAAAAAGAAGAAATGGGATTGGGCCTAAAGCCCAGGCTTAAAAAGCTAACTAAACAAATCACATGATAAACGGAACAGGTGAGAATAATCAGTAGACAGACAGGTTGATCTCGGATAGGGATTTGAGAATTGGAGTTGCTGCTGCAGGGATGCATGAGAGTACCCGCCCAAAGAGTCCAGGAAGAGTCCGGGAAGGCCCTGGAACGAGGCCGACTGCAATGCCGCGAACTACCATGGAGGCGATCCGAGATCAGGCCATGAAGAGCCTTTCCGAGATGACCCCTGGGATGAGGAGCAGGCTTGTTCGGGTGCTGATCATGGAAATCAAGCGATCAACCTAGGATCTAAGATGTCATGATTTGGAACCCAGCATTGCTCCTCTAGGCCTAAACCCTACCAGGGATTGGACTGTCCCTCCTCGTCTTCTGGAGTCCAGCACCCGGTGGACTGTGTAGACAGGAACTCCTTCCACCTCAGCGTGTGGCATGCGACAGTGAGGGGCAAATCTAATTTGTAATTGACATTGATTCTTTTCAGAATTTTAAAAAGGCCAATGTACTTGGGATTAAGTTTTTTACTCCCCTGCGGAAATCAAAAATTTCTTGTGGACAACCAGACCCAGTCTGGATTCTGTCCTTGGCGGTTATTCATGGACTCCCACCAAAAATAATTAGCAAGTAACTGCTGAGTGCTTTGATTGAATAGTACAAAGACAACATATCAATTATTGAAACTGAGGAATTTTATTGTTTTTTGAAAAATATATGCCCATTTTGAATTTGATGGCAGCATCAGGTACTTCAATAGCTGCATACAATGAAAAGAAAATTAAATTGTTAATTGTTATTTATTGATACTTTATTGTCAGCTAAGATTATGATTTTGACAGCCTTAAATGACCTTAAAAATATTTAATCCTTGATAAATCTAGTAAACTCTTGATGATGTCAGAGTTGGGTTATGATCTAATGTTGGTCTGTACTGCCATCTAGAGGAAAGCAGTTATAATCACATGCACACTGTACTATGAGGCCCATCACTGACTGACTGATATCTGGAGTTCTGTATCAGCTCACCTGACACTTCATCC